AATATCTATTAGGCCCTCCATGTGGACTTGGATGAGTGCTTCCTGGCTTCCGAACGTCTTCCGCAAGAGGTCTACGGCGTCGGAGTACCACTGTGTGGTGGGCTGTGAAGCCGGCAATGGCAGCTGCTCCATCGCCACTCAGCGCTGATCGCAGGTAGTTGAACCTTTCCGCCGGCGATAGGTCCGAGTTCAGATGGGTGGCGTTCTCGAACTGTTCCCCAAAAGGACTGCCATTTCTTCCGTTGACCGTTGAATTTCAGAAGTTCAAATTTTGGGAGTTTGATACTCGACTTCGCTGCAGCGTTGCCGATCTGTTAGTGCTTCCAATCAGGTTACTCTCGTTGGCTGGATTGTCGCGTTCCGCACTGCATCTTAGCTGGCTTTTCATCTTCGTCATGTAGTGTCACGATCTTGTCCGCATATTCGAGGACGTGGGTGAATTCGAGGTCTCCGTCTTACTCCGAAATGAGTGGTTCGATGGTGGCGTCGGCGATGCTGCGTTCGCCCTGCACCAGGATCAGTCGTTCGATGAGTAGCTTTAGGTCCTCGCTGTTGGGTTGCGCAGACTGTGGCAACGCCTCAACGTCGTTCTCTAGCCGCGTCACTTGTGACCGAACCGCCTTGCGCTTTTTCTTGTGAACTTCCGTGCTGTCGTTCTAGCAGAAGGAAGAATCACTCACTTTTCTTTCGGCGTTCCAAGTGTTCACAGCGCTGTAATCTCGGGTTTCCAGCATCAAGTTTTCTGTTAAAGCTGTTTTATCTTGCTGGCAGATGAGGCACTACTTGAGTACAACAACAACACTTTTTTTAACTCCACTGCGAATAGCTTTCGTTCAATAGTCAAAATGTCGTGCGCATAGACTCGCTTGCGTTCGCGTTCTGGCCGTCGTCTCATTGTCCTTCTTTTCCTCGCCTCCCTCTTCGAAAGAGAGGAGGACCCGAACCGCCAGAGGCAACGGGGGAAGATGCGCCCATTTGTTCCTCCAAACCAGTTCCAAACCGGGACGGTCACGCACGGCGCTGTAGAAGTCACCGTATGAAAGGAGTCAGGACGCTCTTGTCTCCACGAGGGAGTTCGTCCCGAATCTGGGATTCTTCTAGTAAACGTTACAACACAGTGTTTTTTGTTGTTGATTTTTTTAGCTGCGCGAAGTTTTTAAATAAAGGGGGGAAAAGTAATATGAATGCGGTTTTCGATGCGTGTTTATATGGCTTGACGGACACTAGGTGGGAATATAACCATCGCTATTATCGGACGAATCAACTAAACTTCGGTATTTAACTTTTTACTTACTATAATTAGGATATATGTTTTTATTGCAAACTTTGAGGCGGTCATATGCCAAGACTTTCATTTTGTGTAATTCGAATAACCAGCGTGTGCTCCGCGATATGGCTCTCCGAATTTTGCACTTTAATCCGACTAATGTAGCGAATGTTTACAGAAGGTGAGCAGAAAAAAAAAATTCAGATTAAGTTGAAAATTCGGGGGCAGATATTTCGGAACACGGAAAAGACAAAAATCTCAAAATATTAAAAAAAAAAAGCAGAAAATAATCTATAATGGCCAAAGACGCCCTGGTCTTTGGACAAGACCAGGGCGTCGACCCTGGTCTTGTCCAAAGCAGGCTTTCCGGCCCCATCGTTTGGACGTTGCTCTTTACACAGTAGAGTGGTTCTATATGGTCTCAATGTAAGCTTGAATCTTGTTCATTTGGCTAAAAAGAACATAGTTCTGCCCATTGTGTATTTATAATTTCTTTGTTCATAGAAAGTGAAAAGAAGCTCACTTCTTTATGCATTACAGATATGTCAAGTTATTTAGCTTTATAGACCACTGATGTTAATAAAAAAGTATATAAGAATGAGTAATATAACATTAATCTAAATTTGACACATAAGGGAACAACAGCAGTGTATAGGCTTTTGTCTCAACAAAGGCTATGCAAAGTCTCAACACTACAATTAATAGAAAGTGTATAAAAAGTGGGTTATAAAAATTAATCCAATCTCAATACATATTTTAACAACTGGAGTGTATAGGCTTTCGTATCAATAATGGCTATACAAACTCTGAAGACTACCATTGATAAAAAGTATATAAATAGCGGGCGATAAAAATCAATTCAATTTTGATACACATTGTAACAACTGCAGTGTACAGACTTTTGCCTCAACAAAGTCTATACAAAGTCTGAACAATACCATTGATAAAAAGTATATGCAAAGCGGGCGGTAATAATGAATCCAATTTCGATGAAAAGTTTAACCACTGCAGTGTATAGACCCGTGTCTGAAAAAGGTCTCCACAAAATGTATACAAATACGTTGTTAGAAAGTGGGTAGGGAAGAAAGTCGCAAGGATCGTTAAGAAGTCGCAAAGATTTCAATAGACTGGGCAACTTTTTGTTTGTAAGGGAATTGCCTGCGGTGTATGTAGGGTTGCTGTCCAGTCGTGGTCGTCGCAATGTGTTAACATGGTGTTAACAGACTCGTCTTTTTTTTAGTATAGGCTGCTAGAAATCTCAATAGGTGGCGCACGTTACCGACCGATTTTAAATAGTTTGCCCAAGTTATTTATCCATGTGAGTTTTGCATTCGTTTTTTTGTCTAGCGGTTCCGTTGAAACTACCGACGCCGCCGACCGCCAACGACGCACGTACGTACCTTTGCACGTAGCTACATAGGCCGCTTGGAGACTTTACTGTGTATAAAAGACATCGAACGAGAACTAACGCGTCCTGTGTGTTTTCACTTCGGCTGAAAGGCGCGCGGCTCGCTGGGCTCGTCTCTCGCCTGTTCTCGGCTGCTGGCCGCCATGTTTCATAAGGAACACGCTCGAAACGTGTTTTTCGGTAGGCATACACGGTGTAGCCTGTGAAGTTTACAGGGCACCTCGTGTGTAGACAAATAACACACATGGCTGGGCGTAAAACGAACACGTTTCGACGTGTCCGCTATGGGACAACGGTTTACACGTCTGGGCGTGTTATTTTTGCTAACAGCATAGTAGTTGCGTTGAGAAAGAGGTATGGTTATCATCAGTACCTCCTCACGGAGTAGAACCATGCGGCGAATCCCGGACCCCTGATTGGCTTTTTTTTCTTCTTCAGCATATCACAAATACGCGCCCGCCGGCAAATAGACACGCTGTGGCGGCGGCTTTCTTTTGCTAGTCCACATGTTACCCGGCGCGGCAGAAAGAGGAAAAGGAGAGAAGGCTTGCCGCTTGGGTAAACAGCTGCGTGTTTCACGCGTACATGGATGCTGCCTCGGAGACTTGCTTGCTCTCCTGACAAAATGCTGTATGAGGGGGAGGGGGAAGAGGAGGCCCCAGCAAAAGGGGAGGTTTCGGGGGGGGGGGGGGGGGGGGGGCAACCCCCATGGGCCACCCCTCTGGCTATGTGCCTGGCATGCCGGCATCCGCGGTGTACTGGCTGATGAGATCGGTTTATCACGAATGTACGACACCCTCAACTATGCGCCCCGCCCATTCTTTGGAATCTTCATTTCCTGTTCTCTGAAATGCCGCCGCATATGCAATATGACAGTGAAATGGTACCGCGTCTGCTATATCAACCCACAGTTCCTACAACACTGCGCAGCACCCTTTATCAAGCATTCGAGGGGAAAAGGGGGCTCAGCGCCAGGTGCACCCCTCGTCGCTTGTTCTTACCTGGAGTGTCACGGACAAACAGGTGTAGACGAGGAACAACACCGATGGCTGGACAGGAAATGGTCCCTGTCCAGCCTCAATCACTTTTTCATCGTACGAGTGCACACCAATACGTGTGTGTGTATAATAATCTGGAATTATTGGGTCTTTATTCTTGGGGCAAATAAAGCAATCAGCATTAAAACCTTCTTCGCGACGCGCAGCTGACTACATGCATTCATTAAAGGTGCCCTGAGGACGTTTCTGGGATCGCCTAAATATATCAATACCTCACTTTGCAGGCTCTAAGTAAATCTATACATCATAACGATGCGCGGCCAAATTCCCTATTAAAAATTGCAGGGGCTTAGCTCGGCTATGCCAGGATGTACGTAGCGTGAGCTTAGGTTCAGCTGGTTATTCTTAGCTTTCCTGGTAGTCTAGGATTAGCTTGATTATCATGCTTACTGCTGCTTCAATGACAGACAGACACGGTATACGCATTATGTGACACTTGCATATTTATTTTTTCTGCTCAACGTCTCAGCACAAACGCAAGCTGGGCACGCGGCGGTGCCAGTGCGTCTGCCACGGCTATGACGTCACTCGTCTGGAATGCGCAGACCGGCGAGGCGCGCGCGGCGTCACCGGAGCGCGCGATGGCGGCGGCTCCGGCGCGCCAGCTGTGAGCCGTGTGACGTCACTGCTCCTCGCGCATGCGCAGCACGGCTCTCCAGGAGCCACGCGAAACTGCTCAATTTCGGCCAGTGTAGCTCACGCTACAAAAGGCAATTAAAGATCGAACACACCGAGGTCATCTCCGGCGGTGGGAGGATCACTGCTCCGGCAGCCGGGATATGTGACCAATAAACACGCGACATTTCGTTGAGATTGTGAACGCAATATTTACAAAATGTGAATGCTTTGGTAGAGGGAACATAATGCTGTAATAATCGTGTCAAAAACAGCGGACTGTTTTTTGCTGTTGCTTTTTTTTTTTGTTGGGGGGGGGGAGGGGGGGGGGTAGCGAAGTGTCTGGTCGTCAGCTCCCGAGCGCTCGCCCGCTGGGTTCTATCGTAGTATGGGGTGTATGGGCAACGAGCCGCGCGCACATTCGAGATATCACTCCGCGGTTCCACCGGTCGGAGGCGCGAGAGTCCTTTGCTTGCTATTGGCTGACAACGGTCATGGTTTCGGAACATGCTCCTCCATCGCCGAAGATGACCTCGCGGTGTGTTCTGTCATTGATTACTTTTTTTAATCGGGAAATGGACCACGCATCGTTATGGTTTATGGATGTCTAGGGTTGCTTTGAGTCCGCAGAGTGAGTTCTCGCCAGATTTAGGCGATCTCAGAAATCTCCTCAGGGCACCCTTAACTTCCGGCATTTTCTGGACACAGGATTAAAAGAAATAATTACACGCAGTGCGGTCTATGTAAACAATTCACAATACGTGCGTTGTGTGCTTTCGAAATTTCTCGGTCTAACATGTGCGCATATTCGCAGTATTGCAGAATCTTGATGCGGTGCAGTCACTAAACGTAAAGGCGCATTACTGTACGATTAAAGGGTGCGGACTACGTTCCCAGCCCGCACTTACGGAAAGAGCGCCTCCGCGTCTGCTCTTTGACGAAGAGCAGTTTGCGAGAATAGGAGAAAGAAATATTCCTAAGAAGCACACTTGAGGTTCACGAGGACCGTATTCCGAGGTAATCCAGGTGTGTGCACATACTCCTCGAGTTGAAGACGCTCACGCAGCTTGACACGAACTCGCGCGCACCAAGACTTGTGCCACCCACATACGCCGGAGGCCGCGCATAAAGCAGTCCTCCTCACGGGCTCGCATGGCGGCCGGGCCCCACGAGTCACGAGGAGCGAGCAAAGAGTACACGACCGCCTGCAAACACAACAGCACATCTGCCCGACCCAGGATGTATCCGAGCGGCAGGGAGTGTGTATCCAGATGTCTTCTCAGTGGCGCCAAGACGGCTTCCATTCACTCGCACGCACAAACAAACGGCGTCGTCTGCCGCGAATCCCGCCAGCTGCACGTGCGCTCGCGGTAGAAGTAGGAGACACACGCAAGGAGACTAGAAACAAGGCGCACGCTACCACGAGTCACGCCGTCTCTTCGAGGGGAGAGGGCGGCACGGCGACGCACCCTCACATATCACATCCTGTGGAAGCTGGCACCGGAAGCGCGCGGAGGCAGGTTCTTGATGACGATGCGCGGGTGAAAGGCGTCCGGGTCCGGGTTGATGCACGTCAGGTTGGCGCCCTTGAGGAAGCCCCTGCTGCTGCTCCGATGGTGGTTGTGGTGGTGGTGGTGCTGCTGCGACAGGGGCGAGGACGTGGCGGTTTGGCTGACCGCCACGGCCGGCTTCTGGTACAGCGACACCGCGGGCGACGACGCCGCCGTCCTGCGGTGCGGGGAGGGCGAGGCGGGTCCCTTGGCGGTCCCCGGTGGGCACGCCGTGGGCAACACGAAGGGCGGCCTCCCGACAGGCCTGCGCACGGGCGCCGGCGCTGGCAGGCCCCGATGCGACACGGAGAGGTCGAGGGGTCGCGTGTCCTCTTGGCTTTTCGTGGCGCTCGGGGCAAGTGGAGGGGCGACGGGAGGAGTCCTCGGGGTCTGCGGGTGGGCCCGGGGCGGAGACACGGGCGACCCGGGACTGTCGGGCCTCGAGCCATTCTCGGCAAGATTCTGGCTTTGCTGGGCCGGCTCCGGAAGAGACGCGCGCTCGGGAACCAGCCTGCCGGACGAAGCGGAGGGGGACACGCGGCGGCCGTACGCGGCATCGACTTCGGCGACGTCGACGCCGTTTAGCCTCGCGTTCTTGGCCGGCGTCGCTCCGTCCGGTCGCTCCGGAGAACGGCTCCGGGGAAACCGGGGCCTCTGGGCGTCCTGGCTGTCCGGGGGCCGTCCCTGGTGTCTGACGTGCTGCAGCGTCCGCTCGGCGTCCCGCTGCTCCTTGCGCCTGGACTTCCTGGACAGCGGGGAGCGGGGCGGGGACATGGCCTGCGCCACCGCCGGGGGCACCTCCTTCGTCTGGATGGTGATCTTGTTGCTGCTCCTGTCAAGGGTGCTGATGGTGATCTTCGACAGGGCGGGGGGACTCACGGCGGGAGGCTCGGCCGCTTTCTGTCGCCGTTGCTGCGGCGGGGAGCACGACCGCACGGGGGCAGCGTCCTGGGCAATCCCTGTGTCAGCCGACCCCTCGGTCGCCGCCATGCTGCAAGGAGTCCCCGGACAGGCGCTGAATCAGCAAATAAATTTAGAATCTGGCAGAAACAAATGGATGATATATAGCGTCGCATGTTAAAAGCTGAACTTCAAATGTATCGCTTTCTACAGCGAAGCTGTTTATGGCTACGGTTCCGTGGATTTTACGTGTGCGTGACCAAAAACGCTACGCTCGCACCGCCCCAACGCGCTCGCCTTCTCCGTATAAAAGATTCCAAGTAAACAACCAAAGTGAAGCGTTGACGAACGCGCGTGCAAGATGCCATTTGTTTTAGGCTTTTGCTTTCGAACACTTACTGCTGCAGACGCCGGCGCGTGCGGCGCGTGGAACACCATTCCCTGCATTCTCTTTGATGCTTGGGTAAGTCAGCAATAGGTCTATTCAGCAGATTAGTTATCACTAGGCACTATTTTCAAGGTCAGTACACTCTCAGGTACATAATAAAGGTTGCTCAAAGATTCGCTACTGCATGTGCGACCCGCGTCGGCCATGTCTACGCTCGCACCGCCCAGTCTTTGTCGTCGTTCCAAGCGCCCCCCCCACCCTCCCTCTCTCCCCCTCCCCCTCCCCCCCCCCCCCCCCGCTTTCGCGCCTAGTTTTCTTTCCTTCGGCTCTCCCGGAATGGCGGTCCCGTCGCACGTGCCTAGTTTCCTCCGGCTCCTCGGGGCGGGTATGTGTCGTGTACTAAACAGCTTCGCTGGTCATCCACCTCCACAAAGTGGAATGGCTCATGATTTTTATGAATATACGGAGTTATATGTCGAAACAATATATTACGTGTAATTTTTATTTTCTTTTAGACCATACTGTCCTTTAATTTTTTTTTTGTTGAAATTTCTTTTTTTAATTCCTCTAATATATAGCGTTTTTCCGCTGCGGTAAATTGGCTTCACAATAACGATAATGTACTTGTGAAATAGGTAATTGTTTAAGCTTTTAGTTCCTATATTATTTATGCCACAAAATTGAATGTAACAAAAGTTATCATCCAAACAAGGTAAATTACAGTCAAAGAAGCCTGATTCAGCATTGTTTACAAACATAACTAAAGCAACGACATGTTTTGTTTCTTTACATTTGGCACTTTTGATGCAGTGTTAAAAGCCATGTAAAAACTTTTTTGTGTGTGTGCAGAAGGTATCTGAGCTTGGTGAAGCTCCGAAGTGTGTACCTGTGTCGGATCATTCACATCCCCATATGCGCCCTTGGTCCTTTAAAAGTCAAAAACTAAAAATATGACGCAAAAAAAAAAAAGGTTTTCAGTCCATTTTTGAGCAGAATTTGTCCTGCGTATATATTTTCTTAGAAAGTTTTCGAAACATGATTCCATTTTCCAGCACGATTTGAACGATATAGCCCTTTTGATCATTGATAAATGACGGAACAGTTAAACCAGCAATGTAAAGAGGAGGGCCCCTGGATTGAAACGGGCATACAAATACATTTTTCTTAGTCGGCACACAAAAGGCTGAACTCACCGCCACGTGACGAATTCCACGAGGGGACTACGACGCTCAACAGCTCTTCTATAGACCAACGCGATTGCCCGGAGAATTTGAATTGCGTAAAGTTTAAGCATGGACAGTTCAGATGAGAGAGCGCGAACACAGGAGCCTATGAAGAATGGCGACAAGGAAAAAGTGAGTCGTTTACCACTCCCTGTAACGCCGAATTGGAGCGCAGCTCTTGAGGAGGAGGAGGGAAGGGTACTAAGGGCCACATGTTCTCGGGGGGGGGGGAGGGGGCGTCACGTGACCCCCCCCCGAGGGCACGTGACCTTGGTGGGGTCACGTGGGGGCAAACACGTGCCCCCTCAGAGGTCACGTGACCTCGGGAGGGGGTCACGTGACCTCGGGGTGTCACGCCTCCCCAGGTCACGTGACCAAAATGTTTCCGCTAGATTTAGCGGGGAAATTTTTTCCGCTATTTCCGCTAGATTTAGCGGGGAAATTTTTTCCGCTAGATTTAGCGGGGAAATTTTTTCCGCTAGATTTAGCGGGGAAAGTTTTCCGCTAGATTTAGCGGGGAAATTTTTTCCGCTAGATTTGACGGGGAAATTTTTCCGCTAGATTTAGCGGGGAAATTTTTTCCGCTAGATTTAGCGGGGAAATTTTTTTTGTAAGATTTAGCGGGGAAATTTTTTCCGCTAGATTTAGCGGGGAAATTTTTTCCGCTAGATTTAGCGGGGAAATTTTTTCCGCTAGATTTAGCGGGGAAATTTTTTCCGCTAGATTTAGCGGGGAAATTTTCCGCTAGATTTAGCGGGGAAATTTACCCATAATGCACCGCGCGGTTACGCCGACGGCGACGCCGACGGCGACGGCGACGCCGCTCAAGCCGGAAACGGGCGCCTAAGAGCTGCGCTCTAAAACAAAACGGTTCGGGGAAGTGAGAATGTAAACACCGAACAGTATATGGTTAATTCCAGGCTACATGCGGGTTGCATCGTCAATCAACCGTCCACGAACTCCACACTGATCTACGTGATTACGCTCTCTCTCCCTGCCAATGCACGGAGCCTGTTCAGGAGTCCGAGGGCCAACGGTCAATTGGCCCATCCGGTACCAGACCTTGCCGCCCGCCCGCCCGCCCCTCCCCCTCCCCCCTCCCCCTCCCGAGTTTCAGCCTACAGGGTTAAAATCCAATCTGGGACGTCCCAGGCTTCGGTTTCGGGCACTGACCCGTCCGGCGTCGTCGGCCGGCGCGTCTCGGCAGCGGGAACGACGGTCCGAACAGCAGCTTCCTCCTCCTCCTCCTCCTGCCGGACGTCCCGCGGCACCAGCGCGGGAGGTCCCGCGCCCGTCTTCGGACCCGCGACGCCCTGGGCAACACCTTCCTCCACGCTGGCCGCCGCCAAACACTCCGGCACCGGTCGACCGGGCGCCGTCAGCTGTACCCGGGGACACTGTCGCTGCCCGCCCGGGTCCCCGCTCCAGCCTTTCGCGTCGACGTCCGCCGCGTCCTCAGTCGTCGTTTCCGTCAGGGTCGGCCGCTTTGCAGGGCGGGGGTACACTCGGAATGCGAGGCGGAGAGGAGACTCCTGCACATTTCCGGATCCAGTCCCCCGCGGTTGTGCATTGCGGCGGGTGAAAGTTAGACACCGGAGCGCGGACCGCCACCCTAAATTAAAGTGCGAACATTTCACATCTGGACCACCCGGGACTATAGGAAAAGAAAGTGGACAGCACACACAAAAGAGGTCAAAGTTTATCAGCTCGCCTGCACCTTCTCCGTTATCTTTATAATTGCGAATATTTGCAGGTTCCACGGTGAGAAGACCAGTCATTTATTCTCGCTGGGAAGCAAGGAATACCAATTCAATCGCATCTGTAGCCTATGCGACGTTCATCATCAAATAGGACTATCACGCAACGCCTGGCCGTTGGCCCGGCATTGAAAAGCAAAGCTTGCGCTTCCCAGCGTCACAACTGCTACGCTCAGATCCCAAGGATGTGCCGCAGTAATGGGTATTGAAAGCACTGCGAAGCGTGACGACGTCACAAAATTAGCGAAAGCCGCGAGGTGATCTCTCGGAGAAGTTGCAAACGGGGGTTCTTTCACACTCAGCAGGCACGCGTTCGTCGGGATGCTAAAGGCTCACCCTCTTCCAGGCGTAGATGTAGGCCACGTCCATGAGCGAGTAACCGTCGCAGAGAACGTCGTCCATGTGCAGGATGTCAATCTGCGGAGGAGAAACACTGATAAGTACAGACATGATTCACGGTTTTGTGCTCCAGCTCCGTCGGTTCGTCGTGCTCGACGACTCGCTCACATCGCTTGAATTATGCGAGAATCACTTGGCTTCCACCCCAGATGAAGCACAATTGGCGACAACCAAGTGCTCGGATGAAGAAATCCGCTTGGCCCGGAGACCTCTCCGAGACTTGCCGAGCGGTCCGCTATGTCTTTTTAGAGGTCCCGCGGGATCGATGCCCCGACCGATTTCTTCAGTTGCGCACCTGTTGCCTAGAGGGAGCGCGAGTTGCCCCTGGAAGTCCCTTTATTCTTCTGTATATCTTCTCCACTTTAGGGAGTTCCTCGAAAATAATGAAAATCACTGGAGTTGTTGCGCGTTCACCGTCAAAGACAGGAGAGGAAGAAAGCGTAGTCTTGTTTCTTCCTCCTGTTTATGCTCGCGATATACATAGGAACGGGGTTAAACAGAGAGGTGTATAACATGTTGTTACGCCACCCGACAGTCCCTTTCACGTAAAGATGTGCGTACACTCATGACGTCAGGCTACTACGGTGGCGTTGCTGTCGGCGCTTGCCGGCAGACATCTCGCGCGAATTTCGGTTTATGCGTAATACTATAGGGACACAATTACGCTTAATTTGCTTTCTCTCTGTCCATATATGTGTGCACGCACGCTTTTCTTAGTTTTGTCTCAGGTCCACGTGTATACTTCCTGGCGAGAAGAGAGCTCGGTCAAACTGAGAGCTTTTTTGCCCCACCAACCTCCCCTATTGCTTTGATGGGAAATAAATATATCATTATTATCATTATTATTATATATAAAAAAAAGACCAACTGAGCTATATATTATATTTTCCCCCTTAACTGATCGGCTTATTCATTTTACCTTCTTTATAGCAAACTTAATGCTCATAAAGTTTGAAACCCGACACACAAACCGCTCATTTACACTGCAAGCGGATCCGCGTTCGCAAAGCGATTGCGAACGCGGTTGTATAAAGATCCAGTGGAATTGCACGCGCACTTGATGACATTAAGTGCGCGTGAAATTGTACTGGATCTGTATACAACCGCTTTCGCAACCGCTTTACGAACGAGGATCCGCTTCCAATGTGTATATGAGCGGATAGTCTGGACTCTGGTTCACACACTTGCGACTTCTTCTGACTGTGTGCCTTGAAACCAGTTTTGGCGGTAACGCGTTGCAAGTAACGACGTTACCAGTAACGCGTAAATTTTTTTTTTGTAACATAGTAATGTACTGGTTACTTTTTCAATAATGTAGTGGGCAGGCACGTAGGCAGGATTTTCTTTCGGGGGGGGGGGGGGGGGGGGCCGTCCATGACAAAATGCTGCATGGGGGGGGGGGGGGGAGGGCGGAAAGAGGTTCCCTGCAAAATAGAAGATTTTGAAGGGGGGGGGGTGCCATGCTCCCCGTCCTGGCAACGTGCCTGCTGGTGGGTAACGTTACCAACATTACTTATTAGAGCGCAGCTCTTAGGCGCCCGTTTCCGGCTTGAGCGGCGTCGCCGTCGCCGTCGGCGTAACCGCGCGGTGCATTATGGGTAAATTTCCCCGCTAAATCTAGCGGAAAATTTCCCCGCTAAATCTAGCGGAAAAAATTTCCCCGCTAAATCTAGCGGAAAAAATTTCCCCGCTAAATCTAGCGGAAAAAATTTCCCCGCTAAATCTAGCGGAAAAAATTTCCCCGCTAAATCTAGCGGAAAAAATTTCCCCGCTAAATCTAGCGGAAAACATTTCCCCGCTAAATCAAGCGGAAAAAATTTCCCCGCTAAATCTAGCGGAAAAAATTTCCCCGCTAAATCTAGCGGAAAAATTTCCCCGTCAAATCTAGCGGAAAGAATTTCCCCACTAAATCTAGCGGAAAACTTTCCCCGCTAAATCTAGCGGAAAAAATTTCCCCGCTAAATCTAGCGGAAAAAATTTCCCCGCTAAATCTAGCGGAAATAGCGGAAAAAATTTCCCCGCTAAATCTAGCGGAAAAATTTTGGTCACGTGACCTGGGGAGTCGCGTGACACCCCGAGGTCACGTGACCCCCTCCCGAGGTCACGTGACCGCTGAGGGGGCACGTGTTTGCCCCTACGTGACCCCACCAAGGTCACGTGCCCTCGGGGGGGGGGGGTCACGTGACGCCCCCTCCCCCCCCCCCCCGAGAACACGTGGCCCTTAGTACCCTTCCCTCCTCCTCCTCAAGAGCTGCGCTCCAATTCGGCGTTACAGGGAGTGGTAAACGACTTTCACTTTTTTTAAGTAACGGGTAAAATAGTTACTTCCCAAATTTACCGGCAAATTGAATTGGTGTTGAGGTCACGCGAAGTCAATTTTCCCGCTAAATCTAGCAGAGAAACTGAAGTTGTCCACTACATCTAGCTGAGAACTGAATTACCGGCCTAAATTTAGTGGGGAATTGAATTGGTGTTGAGGTCACGTCACGTCAATTCTCCCGCTAAATTTAGCGCGACTAGGCCGATGCCGACGCCGCGAAATATGGAAAGGGGCGCCTGAGAGATCCGCTCTAAAACGTCTCCCCTCTGCTCGTGCACTTTGCTCCGAGGAATAAAGTGTCGAGTTCTTGTTCTATTTTGTCGCGTCTGATGCGGAGCCCAAACTCCAGAAACGGTCGAACCCGCTGTACTGTTCACAAAATAGGGTATTTTTTTTTTCGCCAAAAGCATCTCTAATTTTGCAGATACTTTTTAGTGACTTAAAAAATGTATTTAAGCTATCGTTGCAATTACATAACAAGAATGTATCAAGTTACACTTAGAAGTTACAAAAAAAAGAAGTAACAAGTTCCAGTACCGCGATGCTACCCAAGACCGCATTTAGCACTTTTAGAGCGCAGCTCTTAGGGGCCCGTTTCCGGCTTGAGCGGCGTCGCCGTCGCCGTCGGCGTCGGCGTAACCGCGCGGTGCATTATGGGTAAATTTCCCCGCCAAATCTAGCGGAAAAATTTCCCCGCTAGATTTAGCGGAAAAATTTCTCCGCTAAACCTAGCGTAAAAATTTTCCCCGCTAGATTTAGCGGAAAAAATTCCCCGCTAAATCTAGCGGAAATATTTCCCCGCTAAATCTAGCGGAAAAATTTCTCCGCTAAATTTAGCGGAAAAATTTCCCCGCTAAATCTAGCGGAAAAATGTACCCGTCAAATCTAGCGGAAACAATTTTCCCGCTAAATCTAGGGGAAAACATTCCCCGCTAGATTTAGCGGAAAAATTTCTCCGCTAAACCTAGCGTAAAAATTTTCCCCGCTAGATTTAGCGGAAAAAATTCCCCGCTAAATCTAGCGGAAATATTTCCCCGCTAAATCTAGCGGAAAAATTTCTCCGCTAAATTTAGCGGAAAAATTTCCCCGCTAAATCTAGCGGAAAAAATTTCCCCGCTAAATCTAACGGAAAAAATTACCCGTCAAATCTAGCGGAAACAATTTTCCCGCTAAATCTAGGGGAAAACATTCCCCGCTAGATTTAGCGGAAAAATTTCTCCGCTAAACCTAGCGTAAAAATTTTCCCCGCTAGATTTAGCGGAAAAAATTCCCCGCTAAATCTAGCGGAAGTATTTCCCCGCTAAATCTAGCGGAAAAATTTCTCCGCTAAATTTAGCGGAAAAATTTCCCCGCTAAATCTAGCGGAAAAAATTTCCCCGCTAAATCTAGCGGAAAAAATTACCCGTCAAATCTAGCGGAAACAATTTTCCCGCTAAATCTAGGGGAAAACATTCCCCGCTAGATTTAGCGGAAAAATTTCTCCGCTAAACCTAGCGTAAAAATTTTCCCCGCTAGATTTAGCGGAAAAAATTCCCCGCTAAATCTAGCGGAAATATTTCCCCGCTAAATCTAGCGGAAAAATTTCTCCGCTAAATTTAGCGGAAAAATTTACCCGCTAAATCTAGCGGAAAAAATTTCCCCGCTAAATCTAGCGGAAAAAATTTCCCCGCTAAATCTAGCGGAAAAATTTCCCCGTCAAATCTAGCGGAAAAAATTTCCCCGCTAAATCTAGCGGAAAACTTTCCCCGCTAAATCTAGCGGAAAAAATTTCCCCGCTAAATCTAGCCGAAAAATTTTGGTCACGTGACCCGGGGGGTCACGTGACCTGGGGAGTCACGTGACCCCCTCCCGAGGTCACGTGACCTCTGAGGGGGCACGTGTTTGCCCCCACGTGACCCCACCAAGGTCACGTGCCCTCGGGGGGGGGTCACATGACCCCCCCCCCCCGAGAACACGTGGCCCTCAGTACCCTCCCCTCCTCCTCCTCAAGAGCTGCGCTCCAATTCGGCGTTACAGGGAGTGGTAAACGACTTCCACTTTTTTTAGTAACAAAGGCGAGCAAACCGCGCAGACCCACGCCGCAGCTTCTCCCGCCATTTTGTTTGTTTCTTCTCTTTCAGCAGCGGAACTTCGTCTGCGATCCGGAAATACGTCACACGGCGCTCCTTCCATTCCTCGCGCACAGTCTGAGGACTAGGGTGTACGAGAGCGCGAGTCTTTTCCCTCGTGCACCGGAAGTCGCTTTTTGCCGTCTAGTAGAAATGAGCGCGAGCTCCTCGACTCCCGGAGGAGCGTCCAATGCAAGTTCGCAACCGACGACAGCATCTCACATATATATATTACCCGAACGAATCCTCGAAACAACCCAATGCCATTTCACGAGCGGTCGGTGCATTGGTGGGGAGAAACGTTTTTCCCAACTTCGTCGGCGTTGCAGCAGGGAACGGCAGAGTGGTCCCGTGGGCTTGGCAAAGTAGCCGGAGTTTTCTCACGTGCCTCCTTCCACCTCCCTCACTCAACGAAGTGGGCCACAGCCGCAGCGTACGCTGTTTGCCAAGAGGAGTCTAGACAGCGTCCCTGGCACGACGCGGGCCCGGTTTTCTGGCGGCAGCCTGTCCTTCCTCCTCCACCGCTCATTGATCCACGCGGAGAGGAAGGAGAGGCTGGCGGGGAGCACCGCGTAGCGTCTCGAGAGTCGACACACACGTCCGACACTCCCCCGGGCACGTGCGTGGATTCGACCGATGTGGAGAGGGCGGCGGGCGAATCCATCGGCGGCCGCCGGAAAGAGGGGAGGGAGGGAGATGCTGCTCGGCGCACACGCCGCGCGAGCGCGGCGTAGGAGATGTGCACCATAAAAGATGTGTACACGCCGGCGGCGTGTACACATCTCCTATGGCTTTTTTCCTTCGTGTATACTGTTTTTTTGCAAAGTCGAAGCAAAATGTTTTGTTATCAATGACTAATCTGTTCGAGCGCATCTTGTACTTCTTTCCTTGTTGTTTCGCAAACTCAATCAGTTTTCGCCGTGCCTCACGTACTGCTGGTGAAAAATCCTCGCTGACGGCAAAACCAGTATTTTTTAGTTCGTAACACGCGCTCAAGATACTATCTGTCCAGATCAGAGCCCAAGTTCTCACACTGCCAGCGGCTACAGCTACCGTTACCTGTATATGAGCCCGAAAAGCTTCAGCTAAAGCTAATATATATATATATATATATATATATATATATAAATATATAATTGCAGAAAAACAATAAGGAAAAAATCGCGCCTTTTCCAATCTTGCAACTTGTCAGATGTCCGGCGGTTTCAAGGACAACTCCGGTCATTATATATACAGTAGTGAACAAAAGGATATGATATTTCGTTTCTTTTACAGAAGTATTGCTCGGCGCCTAGTTGATTGATTCATATTTAAGTAAGCATCAGTTTCTACTCTATAAATGTGTTAATGTAGAGTTCCATTACAATTTTTATATCTGTATCACAGTTTGAAGAAAAATTACCGACGTAAACCGAAATATCATGTCTTTTGCTTCACTACTGAATATATAATCTGGGACAGGGATGAGCAAAATACATGCAAATATGTATCAAAATACAAATACAAAATATTTCGTCAAAATGTATTTAATTACAAATCTAATTACACTTCCAAAAAAGCATTTAAGTACAAGATACAAATACAACCAAATGTATTTGGTCTCCTCCAAATACTTTTCAAAATACATTCCTCAACATTTGCGTCAGCGACTTCAGGCCACCTGCGACCGGTTTCTGGCTATCTCATTTTAATTTTGCATCGCACGCTTGGGAGTTAGTGTGCGAGGCTCTAGTAACGTAATAGAAATATAATCACAAAAAAAAATGTAATCACTTTGGACGTAATAGGTGAAAAAAGTACAGAGCTTCAAGCAGCTTTTTTTGTCGATTACATTTTGGTATAGACCAACAAAGAACCAAGACGACCAAGACGCACAGCACGACCCGCGCATTTAGAATGTACCAAGCAAAAATAGAGATGGAAGTCAGGCTGGAAAGCATCACAAGTCGTCACAGGCACTTATTTAGCCAGTCTGCCTGTGAACGTCGATTTCGTCACAATTCTAGCCCTGGACTAGCGCCGTAATCACAAAGTCACTAAACGCTTGTGCTTGACTGAGAGACACTGCATTCGGTGCAGAACGTAGTTTTCTTCCTGCTCTGGACAGTCACAATACATTTGAGGGATGTATTTTTGCCCACAAAATTGTATTTAATTACAATTGTATCTGACATACCCACGTTTTAGTATTTAAATACACACGTCAAATACATTACCCAATTTGTAATTGAATAAAAATGCAAAATACACAAGGTATTTGAAATACGTATTTAAAATACTTGTATTTGAAATACTGCCCATCCCTGATCTGGGATTACGACTGTTTTCAGCTAAAGCAGTGTCCCTGAATTACAAGGTATCATTTATTTTCTCTGCATTGTGTAGCCGTACAGATATCACGGCTCAAAGTTTGGTTTCGGGCGTCTACGGCAAAACGGAAACTATCTGCTAGAAAGATGGCAACACTGATCCTCAGCATTACGGCCCCGACATGACGTCACAAAGGTGCTGCGCCAGTGTTGCTCGACTAAAAGCGAACCCGCTTGCCGCCCGCTAGAGAGCAGCTGGACGCTTCCTTAAAATCGGTTCTAGTGGAGTAGGCCGCTTCACTTTGACGTAATATTTCGACTGGGATCATATTTCGTGCCACTAAAGCGATACCAGTAATTTATTTCGGTTTCGTTTTCGACCGTAGTTCACCTTTAAACAATATAATCCTCGTGTTGACAAACACACACACACACACACACACACACACACACGCACACACACACACACACACACACACACACGAATTGTAACGTCATATTCTAACAAACCGGTCGAGATAAGCCACGCAGACAAGCTGGTCGAATGTAGGGCGGCAGACGCGCTGAGATTGGCGAGAAATGCTTCCAGCGAGACGACGAGTCACAGCGATCTAGGCACGGCTGGTTTCAGAACGCCTCAGAGTTTCGAAGGATCTATCAAAATTTTCAAGCCGTTCCCCGGCTACCTTCCCAGGCACAAGGCGGCACGCAACACTTTAGCTTGCCACCTGGTGGCTACGACGTGAATCCCCAAAAAGAAAAACTACGGTCCTCAGGACGTCAACGAAAAGTTTCCGGCGAACGTACCTTCAGGCTGGGTGACAGGGCGTACTTGGTGCGGAGGAACTTCTGCAGGTGGTTGACGGTGAAGGCAGCAGGGCAGCTGAGGAACCGACGCTGCCTCCGGTCCTCCTTGCCCTGTGGAGAGAGAGAGGCGCTGTCGGCAACATTTCTCCTAGACAGGGAGGTTTTAGTCCAGAATTTCGCCACCACGGTTCACAGACACCAAGCGGCGCAAGCTTGCACTACGGTTACCGTCTGGAAGAGAAGTTGGGCTTCCCTTTCCTGCTTCGTCCGCGACTCAGACGAGACGCGCAGGAGACAGGAGGGGTAGCGCATCTCCCTTAGCGAACGCCAATCGTAGTTTGAGCTATCGCCGCTGTGCGACAAAAGTCCGCGCAAAGGTCTTTTTGAAAAAAAAAAATAAATAAATAAAATAAAAAAAAAATAATAATAATAATATCCAACGGCCAGGACTCGTGTTCAATCGGTGAGAATACGAATCCCAGACGAACGGTGAAGCGGTGCTCGCATCAAATCTGTGCACACGCGCTGGACTCTCGTGGGGGACGTCGAAAAATTCGGCGCTTCGCCCTTGCTATCTTGGAGGCGCTCGTTCGGCGACAAAAGAGGCGGTGAAGCGGGGGGACACTGCCGAGGCCAGGGTCAACCGCAACTGCCTCGAGACCGGCAGCGACCAACGGCGCTCGCGCGATTTCAACAACAATCGTCGACAAGGCGAGAAGGGGGCGAAGATTTTATCGCACCGCCACCGCACAAGCTCGTTTTCCGCTCGCCGATTTCCCTTTCCTCTCGTCGGTCGGGTCGACCACGTGACGAAGCGATCACGCCGGCCGCTGCTCTTTTCTTTTTTGTTCGCCTTTAAAAGTTGTCTTTTTTATCGTACCTTTCTCGCACGACGGAGACCTGTCTCCCGGTACATTCGTTTTCGGTTTTGCTCGCATCCCTCAGAATAGTGTGCGAAGCTGCGGAGGAGCGTTGTTGCGGAGAGGAAGTACGAGTGGGGGTGAGAGGGGGGGGGGGGGTGTAAGATGGGAGGGTATTTATGGAGAGAGTGCCTAATTAAGGGGGGCTGTCCTCACGAAACGCGCCTACATCCGCTTTTTGGTGCGCGGTTTCCTTTTCTTCTTGAAGGGGACAGATTTGCGTTTGTTTAAGTGCTTCAGTCCGCCTTGGGACGATGTTGCGCGAAGGGCGAGAGCGTGCGTCTTTGGAATGGGCTGCCAGCAACCAGACATGGAGGTAATCCGTTACAAGTAACAAAATTACTTGCAATCCGTAATTGCAAGTAACACTTGTATCACACGATGATCGTACGCCCGTGTTGGCACGTTTTCGTTACAACTGTTCGTGACCACGCTCTCGGCTCAACTCCATAAAATACCTCTTAAAAATATATATATACCTTTTTTTAACAGTCTGGGTGCGACACGCGTGTCAAAAAAAATTATTTTAAACGAATTTTTTTTTTTTTTAATTTAGAGCAATATTGTCGGCGTGAGACGCGATTCAGTCGGCAGTCACCTCCGTTCCGCTGGTTTTCTGTCTCGGCATTTCGGGCGCGTGGAGGAGAGGGGGATTGGCTTCGCCTTCATGTTGAGGGGGAAATGGCGAATGACCATCTCGTTGAGGTGGAAAGAGCAAGTGACTATTCCGTGACGTCATGGACTCTGCGCGCAGAATTTCAAATAGATCTCGCGCCGTCAATATTGCTCAGAATTTTTTCCTCGAGTATTTTGTTTTTGTTTTTTTGGTTAGACGCGTGTGCTGACCAGACTCTTAAAAAATTCTTTCTTTTCAGAGTTTTCTAAAGCATTCGGCTTTAATACAAAAATAAAAAAATAAAAAATATCCCAGTTGTATTTTAATTTATTGAATAAACCATCAGATGCAGAATTGCGTTTTATGAGGAATGCTGGAGGACGCTAACTTTAGTTTCAGCATTAACAGGCACGCGACATCGTGTGTAGCATCGCGGATATCTGAGCAGTTTTCATTTTTTTCTCTCTCTTGTTTCGAGGATTTCGCAGCTGGCGAGATCATCTCGGAGCGTTTCGGAGGCCTCTCTCCTGTTCTTTTTCACAGTTGCGTTGTTTGGTGGGCGGAGCCCATGGTGCAGGAGTTCGGAATCCGGCCAACCATGCCAAATCTCTTCGACGTTGGCACGCTTCACTCGCACTTTAAATGCTAAATAGAGTTAGCGTAAGAAAAGAATGCGATTCCGCAATTAAAAACAACCCCCCCCTCAAAAAAAAAAAAAAAAAAAAAAAACCGACGCATTATAGCACTGTGTTACTGCCCTCGCACATCTACGATGGGCTCACGCAGAAAAGACGCCGGCAAGCGTGCACTGTTGTTCACCGCGGACAGAAACGCGCGCGCGGATATTTCACGCAGAACACTTTTCCGGACGCCAAGAACCCGAAAGCAAATGAGCCAAGAATAGACGGCGTCTCTTTCGTGCCACCCCGCCACCGACCATGCCGCCATGTTTTGTGCGTTTTGTGCGTTCATAAACCCCTATGTCGTCTTCTCTAAATTACATAAACGGGTGTTTAAATGTTTTTCTCCTAAACAATGCCACATGCCCTATTATTGTACCCATTCGTTCGGTGTGCGAACTGCCTCGCAGACAAGAGCATTTCCTGAATTTCCTCAAGCCAAGGACTCCGAACTGTTTCACTGCCAGCTTTTTCTCGCTTCATTCTCTCGCGCGCAGTTTTCACCTACATTTGACTCGTCTACAGATGCGGCGCAAGCAAAAGAAACAACTTCACCCCGTGCAAAGAATTCTCGTCGAGGGCATTCACATATCAACGTCGTTTCTGATTATTTGATTTTATTTTGTTTCTAATTTCGTAGCTTAATATGTATGCCTATGCCCACAGGGGCTTTCCATACAATAAGCGATTGTCAGCACAGGATGTTGTAACAATATCAGGAAGAAACAAACTCTATCTATTGGAGCCCATAGCGAATCGGGGGATCGGTGGCCGAGTGGGCTAGCGCACACCTGCAGCTCGGAGCACGTGGAGCGAAAGCTCGCGCTGCAAAACCCAGGGATCCTGGGCTCAATCCCCGCCCACTGCCCGTTTCGATCTAGATGAGCATCTAGATCGGAGTGCGGTCGTGTATCACTGCTGCGTAATGCCCGTTAAAGACCCCGCACTAGCGGTTTGTACTGCACTGGCTCAATTTCTCAACTACAGCTGAGGGGCGAGTCGCCCGTTCAGGCAGACTAAGCTCAGGCTGTGAAACACACCCACACACCCCAATGCCCATTGGGCGGCGTACACGTTTCCTTCGTAAAACCGAAAAACTCGTCTCGCCCATTTTGCGACATTCTAGTCTATGATTACAATGCGTGCGCTAAAACAAATATCTAAAAAGCTAATTACTAAAATGTGGGTCCCTAGATGATTTATTCTCATGACGCAACACACGCAACCTGGCGTACTCCCGCCGCGGTCGAGAACGTCGTCCATCATTCTTTCTTTACCCCAAATGTCCTCACTTTACTGATCAGCCTAACATCATCATCATCGTCATTATTACACTAAACAGACGCAGGCCCCGTACCGGAAAACATGCACAAAATGTCTAAGGAGCGAAGCTTGTCATTCAATCCCTGTGGATTTCGGCTTCATAAAAATTCAATAAAACATGTTTTGTGTTTTTTGCTGCAGCGTTTGTAAGCCTGGAATTAAAATCAGGCGACATCGGTGTCTTGAACAGAATCCGTGATGACCGATCCTCCGAACTTGTTGCAGAGTTTTGAAACCACGACGATAAAATGGACGTTCAGTATTCCCTTTCATCGGCAGTGCACGGCTGCTTGCTTTGAACAGGGCCCGGTCTTGTTTGCGCGACAATTTGCGTCGGTCGAGCATTTACTCAACGAAACTGCGGCTAAATGAGACACAACAGCAATCCGACCGTTGTTCAACGGCTCGTTGTGATAGCCCTGCGTCCGACACTGAGCCTAGAAAAAATATCCAGCAATGAGAGGACACGCAAGAAATGGAGCTCGTTAGAAACAGTTCGAGGTACGCTTTTTTTCTAAATTATGAGCAGAGATATAAGGACAGCCCAGTGAAAATTGCGAACTGCTGTGCACTGGCGTTTCCGTATCCTGTTATACAGACGGAGATATATGCCAGTGCCACTCAAGCAAACAATAAGCTGGGCAGATGATTCAGCAAATCTACACGTGCAATGAAGCATACAGCCTTAGCCAGGGATGGGCAGAATACTTCCAAAAATGTATCGAAATACAAATATCAAATACTTTGACAGAAATGTATTTATTTATTTACAAATTCAATTACAATTTTAATAAATGTTTTTATATACAGGCTACGAATATAACAAGGGTATTTGATCATTTTTCATATACTTTTGCTAATACATTTTGTTCCCTTAACCTGACGTCTTTAACGTAAATGTAAACATGAGTAAAAAAAAAAAGAAAAAAAAAAGAAGCCACATTGAAATAGAGTGAAGTCGATATCAATAATCAAACGCCGAAAACAAGTTGCATCTTTAAAAATATTTTTTTTTTGTTATGGTATAGGTAGGTAAAACGTCAGCGAACAATATATTCAGCATGAGTTTAGTCTCGATAGGTGAAGTTGAAAAAAGTCCTTTCAAACAACAAGCCGCTGATGCGACGTCTAAAAATATAAATGAGCCAACCAAAACGTGAATAACTGTAGCAATCCCTTTCATTCCTTGCCGCTCTTCCCTCTTTCTGTGAAGTTTATCATGAGGAAAACGCAGCAAGTTTCATGCTCCCTGCATGACTCCCATTTCGAAAAGCGCCCATAGCCGCGAAAAACAGTGACCAAAAATGGTTCTCCGGCCGTTTCTAAAATACAGGTATTGTAAATATTAAAATGTCAGTATCAAAATACAATTGTCAAATACATTCTCCGATACGTATTTATATACGAAATAAAAATGAAAGACGTTTACAACTTCCTGTAACGCCGAATTAGAGCGCAGCAGTTAAGTATTTAGGAGTCATGTTTATTAATTAAGGTGCTTTCTTTTGGTTAGGAAAGTTTATCTTTCCAGGGTTGCGTAGGCATTGTATTTTTTCAGCTTTCTACATTTGAGTCGGCGGGGCCAAAGCGGCCGCGATGCGGGAGCGGTCCCCCGCGGTCGTTAGAAAACGTCTCGGGTTTCGGGAGTCTGCTCATACCGGGACCGAGAGAGCCCGCGCTTGAAGATGGTTCTGGCTTTTAGCCGAATCTGCCTGTATACAGAGGGTTTTGCCGCTTAGTATAAAATTGTCCCTCTTTGCCCGATGCAATAATTTAGCGGTTGGCGCCAGTCAGACTGGAAAAATTGCAGAGAACAACTCTACAAGGAATTTAGGTTTGGCGGTTGGAGCGCCAGGATGACAGCTCGCCGACCATTGGTGTAACACGTGTAAGTGGTGGAATTTGAAGAGATTGGTAGGTTCCTGAGGGGAAAGGAGGCCCCTACGGGCCTACAAAAAGGGTGCGGAGAGGATTTTGAGAGATTCGGACTTTGCATTTGAAGGAGAGAAATCGGGGACGGGGGTCGAGACTTTAGACGAGGCAGGATGGTCTCCCAAGTTGGGACTTGTAGCTAGAGTGTAAATAAATGCACATAGTTCTCTACAAGCAGTGAGCCGACCCGCCATTCAGCGACGTTCGTGCCACCACGCTCTAGACCATCGGAGCGGAACCTGCCTCCCACACCACCGGGAGGAACAACAACTTTAACTGCAACTCTTCAGGAGCAGGAGGGGATGGTACTTCTTATGGTACGTTTCTCATAATGCAACGCGCGGGACCCTTGTGACGTCACGTGTGACGTCATTATGGGAAACGTCCCGTAATGCAACGGGAAGGTCGCGAGTGAGACGCGCGCGTTGGATTTTAGGACGTTTCCCATAAAGCACCGCGCGGTTACGCCGACGCCGCTCAAGCCGGAAACGGCCGCCTAACAGCTGCGCTCTAAAACAAAATCTTCAAATCATTTTAAATACGCATACTAAATACCTGCATCTGAAATACTGTCCATCCCTTGTCTCAGCTACGCGAAAACGGCAGCAGTATTACCACCGCCGTCTAGTTGCAGACTTTACCGATCGCTATGCTCTGCGAGCGGCACGATAAAACGAGCCCCTGATCTGAATGCAGCGTAGATTCAGACATAGAATCTGAGGGCGGGGTTCAAGGGTGGTGAGCGTCAACTTACCGCGCCATCAGCAGCCTCGGCAGCACCGCCTTTGCCATCGTCTTCCGGCTCTCCGGTATCCGTCGGGCTGGACAAGCGGGATGAGGCGACGTGACGACCGGGACGCACAGAACCAGTCCCCGAGAGACCACATTCAATGAGAAGCTAGCTTCTGGGATGAACCGGCCGCTTCTATCGTCCGGCACCCATCTCAGAATAACGCAATCCGGAACAAACACTAGCCTTAACAACATGCTGATGACCCAAACAAACCTATCAACAACATTTCCTAGTATTAAACGCTTCGACGGAACAAAAGTTAAAGGGCCCCTGAAAAAATAAAATCTTTTTTTTTTTAAACAGACTGGAAAAAAGCACCGTGACAAAAAAAAAGAAAGAGTATTGCGCGAAAAAAGGTTTTTAGAGCAAGATTGACGGCGCGAGATTTATTTTAAATGCTGCGCGAAGTCCACGACGTCAGCGAATGATCATGCCTTCCTAAACGATATGGTCATACACTCTCTCCACCTCAACGTGACTGCCAAGCCGCCCTCTCCTCTACGCGCCCGAAATGCCGAGAAAGAAGACAAGAGGAAAGGAGGCGACTGCCGACTAAATCGCGTCTCGCGAATGCTCTGAGATGTTTTTTTTTCGCGTAAGATTAATATCTTGACACGCGTGTCATATCCCGACTATACAATTTTTTTCTTTTCTTTTAAGGGGCTTTTGAACAGCGGGAATATCCCAGGGTCAGTGACGAAGCATTCGTTGTGAGTTGGTGGAAGCTTACGAGGACACAAGACTAACCTCGAAACTTGACTGCAATAGAAAGGAGTACCGAACTTTACCGGAAAGGACAGGGATACCGACAACGTCTAAAACGCTATCCATATCCGACCGACTTCGTCACTATCCACGGGGATTCTGCTGATTTAGCAAAAATTACAGGAATCTCAAGAAATGGCATTTATACAACGTCACACTTTTTGAGTGTCCACTTGACGAGATACTTATCAAAGTTGAGCTTTGCCTCCACGATCGTGTTGTAATACAAGCTGGCAACGAAACCCGAAGAAATTGTATGATTTACTGAAATATCTCCCTTTTTTTTATATTGCAATTGTCAAAAAAAGCAAAAAGCATAAAAAAAAAAAAGAAGGCCAAAGCAGTCTACAGTCAAAGACAGGGAGGGCGGTACCACTTCCCCGCGTTCAGGTGAGTTTTACAATAATACCGAACGTGATTTCTTCACTCCACGCACGAAACTTTTGGGAGAAAACCAAGAGCGTCAAACACTGAGACTCCCGGGGCTTTGGAGGGACTGCCCGCAAACGGCCGGTAGTGATGGGAGCGTCACTCGGGCAAAAGCGTCCGGGTGTTCCTGACATGCTTGTATACCCACTCACCCGGTGAAGTACTCCAGCGACACGCTCACGGTGTCTTGGGGGCTGAAGATGAGCCTGGTCGAGCCGTCCACCACGCCGCGGTCCTCGAGGCACGACACCTTGGCAGCTGCGAACGCAGGAGCCGGAGACAGGGGGACGTTAGGCCCCTATTAGCCCCGAGAGCGAACACAAGCGTCACTGCGGTCGCCGCGCCCTGATTGGGTGAGGTGTACCGTGACGTCAGGGGGAGTACTCCGCTCCGCGATCTCGCATCGGCTCGCTTCCCAGCACCGGTTTCCTGGTTTGGCGTTGTGTGCCGCAAGCTCTTCGAGGAGCTGGACTTCGTTTACCCGGTGTGCAAGACGTTAAGTTAGGCCGATATTGACGTGCTTCCGTACATTTCATAAGCCTGCTTGTCCGTTTTACCTTTAAAATTGGGTTAAAAATCCCGAAAGCTATCGGCGGAGGCAATTCCGCCGATGAACCTCCCCGTCCGACCACACGACACAAGGCAATCTTGCGAGGGGTCAGTGAAGTGGTGGCGCAAGTGTTTCAGACGCTGGAATTCGGTTCCTTGCACGTTCACGATTTAAGACGATATTACATCCCGATTCAAGGCATTTGAAGTGGCATTTATATCATGGGCCTTTGGGTGGTCGGCAAATTAGCTCGCGACCCTGACTCTGCCCTGCCACTCTGCATGCGCTGGTTCGTAGATGTTTTAAAGGCCCTGCGTCTGATGATCTTGAAAGTGCTCGTGGAACAGGGTTGTTTTAAATAAATGTAGCTTGTTTGTGAATTAATTATATAGTTTACACACGCATGCAGGCATATTTCTTAGAGGATTCACAATTACTGGAAATTAGTTTGTATGGTAGCAGCAAAAACGGCCGAATTGCCCCCAGTTGTCTGTATATGTATTGGCCAAACTATGCACGGCAATAGTGCCGTAATATCGAATGTTTATACTTTTTCCTGACATTCTTTATTCCCAGCCTTGGGCATTCCGAAAATACACCGTTTAGTCTGAATTGTCATTTCCAATTAAAAGGGGCACTGCTGCAGGTCCCCAAAAGCTTCCTCAGCCTCCACACTCCCTACAGCTGGACTCCCTGACAGCAGAGGAAAACAGGAATAGAAGCAAGCATTCGAACGTCTGTCTAGTGGTAGATGCAGCACTATCAGCAGAAAATGTGGAACCTGTGAAGGGCGACAGTCTGCGGGAGAAAGGCTTCAGGTATTTCAGCTTCAGGACGATACGATTTAAGTAAAATTTCAATTTTAGGGCTTAAGGGGCTAATAACGAGCTAGACACCTTGGCTTACGTTTGTTATGCATTACTTGAGGGTTGATATAAACAAGTCCACAGATACCACCCGTGTAGTCCATTGAAATACTATCCGAATCCTGCAAAGGTCAAATGCGAGCAATGTATATAATAAATGTTCCTCGTTTTTTTACTTTGCCCCTGCACTTGGGCTGTCTTACTTGTAATTCTCTCTTCATGGCCCAGGCTGTATTTAACATTTTGCTCGAACAGCATGCAGCTTTTCTGCTTCGGCGATCTTGTTTAAAAACAGAGATACAAAAAAAAATATACATAACCTGCCAATTCATTCAGACCATCAGCAGCATTTATTGTGCGAGATGTAAATCTATAGTGATGCTCCTGCAATTGTGGCCATATTTCTTTATTTTCATATACCAGCTGCGATTCATGCGTTGCCTGCCCTGTCAACCATGCTTAAAATGTTGGTTGAAGTTTCGCCTGTAGCTACAGGCCATACCTCAATAAAGGCGCATAAAAAAAAAATCACACTTCAACGAAAAACACGCCAAAAACATTGAATAGAAAGGAGCGCGCCGTCAGCTACCGTCGTCACAGCCTCCACAGGGCGAGCGGGCCGAGTAGGGTAAACATTCTCTCCTCGCCGTGACGTCACCCCGGTTCGCCGTAAGGGGGCGCCACGCGAACTTCTCGGGGCTAATGGCGACGGATTCACCCATGGAGAGTCAAAGAATAGGAAACCCTCCGTCTTCCCCTTTGGAGCATTAAAGGCCAAAGGGTTCTCCAAACCAAAAACGGAAAGCGGGAAGCGTGCCCTTTTAGCGGAGAGTTTTCCTGACGCGTTCCGCTTCGTCCCGTCTTTTGAGGGGGGTGCACCCGAGTGCGGTCTTGGAATGCGTGCGTGACGAAACCACTGGGCGCAACCAATCACGGGGACGAGGAAAGTGCAGAGCAGCGGGCAAATCAGGCACGAAGCAGCAAACAGGAACTTCGAACCGGATCAAGGAAGCGGCGAAGAGAGGCGACGTGCGCGAAGGAGCAGGTGGACAGACATTCTCATTGGTCGGTCACGACGAATGACATCTTTGTGACGATTGAATCGATGTCGCCCGCACCCTCTCTCCCCGATCTGTCCGCCTTACTCCGGCAAAAACCATATGCAACCGATAAACGGAACGAAGAGTTTCCGCTTCCCGCTAGAAGCGCACACTTCCCGCTTTCCGTTCTTGGTTTGGAGAACCCCTAACTACGGAACATTTGGTCGATTTTAGGGTTACGAAGTGTAATTTTTTTCTATGTCTGGTGTAATTTTGTAGATATATATATTAGGGAGTTTTAGAATAGCGTACCAAATTTTAGCGCACGCTGGCGCTAAGTTTAGCACTTGCGTTAGCGCACGCTACGCAGGAGAGTTTTAGAATAACGTTTCTCCGTCACGACGCAAAAGCCCAAGCATCTCGTGTTTGCAACGCCACCGAGATACAGTCACAATTTTTATTTCACACACGAAACGTTATAACTTCATAAAAAAAAAAAAACAAAAAAAAACAGCTTTTTGGCCCAGAGTAACATTTTCGCTTTGGTGAAACACGAGAATGCGACGCGAGCGGTCGTTTGATAGTGGACCCCCGCTTGCGTCGCCTCGGCAAGAGGTGTCTCGTTGACTGACATTCGCACCCGTATTTTTGCCGAGAAATGTTCGCGCGTCGCAAGCATTAAGTTGCCGGTGATCGTTGCCCACCTTACTGGGTTTTCCAAACCGACTGCAATGACGTCCCATATTGAAAATTGCTGTCGCGAAGATGCCGCCAACGTTGCCCTTACGACGCCGTCAAAGCGGCCGCAGCCTTGGCCCTGGGGGCCGCCATTTTTTAACTTTGCTCTTCTTGGCTTTAGCCGACTTCTTTTCACGAATCCTTCTTGAAGGAGGGCAAAGACTCTTTGTGTACGCACGCAATTTCCGAAAAAAATAGCGCAAAAAAAGCGCAAAACATGGCTAGCGTTCGTCGCATGCGCAGTGGCGACGACGCTATAACTTGCGCACGCCAAGCTTTAGCGTACGCTATTCAAAAACTCCCTATTATATGAAAGTTTTGTTTCAGGGGTCTGCGGTGAAACCGAAACTACAGGAGGTATTCACTGGACGCCATATTTGAGGGCGATGTTTAGAGCGCATGCTCAGAACGAGCTCACATTAATAGCCAGCTAAGACCGGCAACCTTGATGGTGTTAAGTGCAGGCTCCAAAAGGACTGCGGAAGCTCGCCGTCAGCACGCGCTCAGCACCAGCGCCCACGGATATGGCCGCCAGTGAATACTCTCTATACCGGCTCGTGCAGGATGGCAATCCTTGTGATCCGCTGCAAGACCATCGTGTGACGGAAAGTTCGTACCGCGGTGCCGCAAAACGGATTGGTCTAGCATCAAGAGGAGTTCCCATTATTCAGGAAAGATACTACCGCTGTTTTACTGCTTTACATCGTAGATACAAACGGCTGTAGCAAATAATACATATTCATAATCGTAAGCTCGCACTGAGCAGACACGCACTAAACCATGGCTGCCAGTGCATGCCGCCTTCGGCACGAGGACGCACTTGAGCGAACAGGGTGTAAATAATCCTGCGCAATCGCTGAGGATCACTTACGGACTACGGCAGCTAAAACATAACGCAACAAGCAGAAATCGTCCACTGGGACGGCCGAAAAAGCAGCAGAAAAACGCGGCTTAAAGAAGTGGCAGTAGGAACAATGACCTACTGGAGTACGCGAACATGACGTCATGGCACAAGGTTGCTTGACAAACAGTCAACCCGCTGAGAAGCTTGTGCTAGTATATCTAATAGCGGATTCAGAGTGGATCGCGGTTTCCCATTAGTGTCATCCTTTGGCAGTGCCAGTGATGTGATTCGCCTAAACCATTTTGGAGCACCTTTTGGAGCAGCCTAAACAGTGTTTTGGAGCAGCAAATGTGGACTTTGGAGCAGCCAAGACAGTGTTTCAGAGCAGAAAAAGTGACGTTTGGAGAATATATTCTTAGAAAAATTAATATTTGTTTTAAGTGCTGGACAAACGAAGGCCACTTTGTGTTGTGTTATGATATGACGTGTTGGGGCGGAACTCGCTGCTTGTGTTTGTGGTGCTGAGACATCCCACAAGTATACAAAGCTGTAAGCGCTGCCGAAAAATTTCGAAAAAAACAAAAACAACAAACACTTGCTATCGTTTTACTGGTTCCCGACGTGGCCGATTTTTATAAAAAGTAAGCAAACCTAAAACAATGAATTGCAAGCGTCCCGGCTGGTGCCTCTCGTACAATAATGTTCACATGCAGGTGAGGGAAACTTCGGCAGGCTTGCAGTTACACGTGATTCGCCGCGCGAGCGGAGACAACGGCTGTTCGACCGAAACCGAAACCATGCCACCAACTGGTTCCCAAAATAGTATGCAAAATGTAACTGTCCAGCATACGACAATAAAAAGATCAGCGGCGCGTGCTTGCCAGGCCGGCAGGCGAGGTACAGGCTAAACACACAGGAAAATAGAACCTGACAGTATCGATGCAAGACATTACGAGTCAAGGTCAAAAAGTTCTTGGAGCGCTTTGTGCAACGACTGAACTCATGACAAACAAGCGCGCTGTGTGGGTTCAGCGTGCAGACATTGCTTTCGATGCTTTAGCTCGCTTCTCGTCATCAACTTTCTTTCGCGGCAGATTTTTCACGTACCAGGGTCCCTCTCGAAAGAAAGCCCACCGAGAGAAACCTAGGTAATCAAAACTTCGCCAAGCATTAATTGAGTTAAAGAGGGATTTTTATAGCAGCGTATGATTTAAACAAGAGCAGAAATGTCGATGCGTTTCAGTTTAGAAAGTGCCATATCTGCAGCGACGTGGGGACGGCAACACACGACGCCGCGACCACGGCGACTGTTCTCGCGCGAGCGCTTCAGCTCACAAAGTAACTCTCGCCACGCAAAAACGTGGTTTTGTTTCACAGCATGACGGCACACTAACGTCGGAGCATCCGCACACGCCCACGTCTATCGCAAAAAAAAAGAAAGAAAAAAAAGAAAAAGGCGCGAGACGAGATTTCCGAGACGACGAGAGCGCGAAACGCTACACGACGGGAAAAATCATGCAAGACCGAATAGACGATTGATGCAGGGTACTTTGTGTCGGGCGACGTCTTGTGCCATTTAGCTCTTGCATGCTCAATTACGGTTCTTAGTTTCGTTTTTGAAAGGCTACCAAAACTGGTCCTTTGGCGCAGGCTTGGCGCAGATTAGCCATATTTCGGTGACATGTAGCAGGATGTAGCAGGGTTAGCCCCTTGGCGCAGTTTGGCGCAATTGGCGCAGCAATCACATCACTGCAGTGCTCGTACTTAGTCTCTGTTTATCGAGATCAGTCATTTATTTTAGTTCGACTTTTGACCGGAGTTGCCCTTTGAACTTACCAAGTATTGATACTGTGTGTATACACACAATAATCATGGAAGCTTTGTCCGCTGGATAGGTATGATAACTGATATGACCTGGCAAACAGCTTGCTTGCTACTCAGCCCCCGCCCCTTTTCCTCAAGAGACGCACATACATTCAGAGGTACAAAAGAATGGCGAAAACTCAATGTAGACAGAATTATAAAAGAGAGCGATAGCTATAACCACATGGCAACGGATAAAGGAGGAAAAAGCTACTGTACTGTATTTAGAGCAAGACCTGAGAAGCGGCAAAGGCTATGACTACAACGAGCCACAAGTCGTCGTGGACATCCACCAGCTAGCCAGCCCATCGAGTACAGAGCAGCGAAGCTTCAGCGCCGATTCATCCGGCGACGGCATGCATTGCACCGACCATGTACATTACAATGGTTCTCACCTGCGTCGGGGTACTGGTCGTAGAACTCCCGGCGCTGCTTCATCTCCCCTGGGAAAGAAAAGAGAACGACCGACGCTCACGCCTAGTTCCCGCAGACAAGAAACAAAACAGAAAGCTATAGAAGGAGCAGTGAGAATGGTGTGGGCTGCTTGGTGACGGGGAGCTATCGCGACACCTCTGGAAAGACTCGTTCTGATCGAGGAGTTCCCAGCGTGAAGCGCGTTGCCATTTACGCTTCAGACCGACGCCAGAAGAAAAAAGGCAAAATACTTGCGAATAACGCTTACTCTGGTAGAGTCCCGGAACCACCTTGTAGACGATGTCCTGCAGAGTCTTGTCCACCCTGGAAAAGGATTCGGAAAGAATGACTGAGTGTCGAGGGTGCTAGAAAGACGGGTACGAAGGCAAGCAGAGCGGCCTGGACGTACCTGAGGCAGCTGAGCGGCCTGGACTTGTGGACGGGCACGTCGCAGATGGGGCACAGCTTGCTGGTGTCCAGGTAGCGCACGATGCACACCTTGCAGACTGCAAGGAAGGAGGGATGACACGTCCCCATCGATGTCTTCCAAAGGGAGAGAGAATAGAGATACTCACAGGAGTGGAGGCAGTCGATTAGCGTAGCCGCGTTCACCAGGTAGCCCCCGCACAGCATGCAGGACAGCGCGGCGTTCAGGTCGCGCAGCAGGGCGCGGGGCATTCTCCCGGAACGCTGCCCTCCTCCTCCTCATCTGTCACACTGCCGAGTGGGCAGAGAGAGAGAGAGAACGAGAGTGAACTAATCGCCAATCGTCAAATATACCCTCAACCTCTTTCACTACGGCGTCCAACAGCAGGTGCTCTTTGACGGGAGAGTGGCGACGCAGTTTAGCATTGCCGCTTCAGCGGATGATGTGGTAACTCATAAGCGTGAGCTAGCTATATGAAGCATCTACGTTAGATGTCCCAATATCACGGGCGACATTACCTGAATCGCGCAATAACAAGTTAGTGATGACCACTGATAACAATAGTCAACATCTCCTTCTGTCTAATGTTTTCACTCAGACTACTTACCCCGATGAAACTACAAACTTAGAAGTCTTTTGAGGACTGCACTCACTTCTTGTCGAAACGTTTGGTCTACTGGCCGCTGTCGTTTCAATGAGCAGACGGCAGTTTGAACGATCGACGCCCGTTCGAAGGTGAAAATGCGCACTGAACGTCCTGACAACCAAGCGGTTTTCTCACGTTCATGTTGGAATAAAACAAATAAATCTGACGACCCCAAATATCCGTGAATTCAACTTTAGAGGGATGGTGAACAGTAATTTGGATTTCAAGGAAACAATGCTGAGGATGTAGGCGGGACGCTACGATCCCTACAACACTACTAGTAAGGCGATATCTCAAATGGACGGCCGTATTTTTGGCAAAAGAAGTCGAGATTGAACCAGGCCGACAAAGCGCGTGACCGTCAAAATACATAGTTTCCTCATCTCTTCGCTTCGCTCCCTGATGGCCGCGAGGCGGAGAAGACGCGAGGCCGTTCCCTCTCCTTCTCGGAGAAACACGACGTAAACATTCCTGCCAAATGCGCCTCTCTTTTTTGAAAAAAACGGTCATCCGTTCGAGATATCACTGTATGAGTGATGTTTTGGTGTTTGTAGCATCCCGTTGCACGCTTTTGCCCCGTGTTTTGGGGAATCCAGATTTCGGTTCAGCATCCCTTTAAGTGCTTCCCGCACAAGCAATGGTGGTCTGATGGTGTCTGGTTTCCTTTTCACGGCGCTTATCCAAGTTTTCGGACGAACTGAGCAGGCAGAAAACACATTAAAACTGATCTTGAAGCTTTTTACAGCTTTTTTTTCCCATACTGGAAAACTCCTTAACTTGGAAGGTTAAAATGCCGTCTGCTTGGCTGATGTGCGGGGAATACGGCATTCCACCAGGAAACTGAACTTTCTCTAATAAATATCTTGCACTTGAAGTCATCGAAACATGCTGTTGTTAATTGCCAGTATTTTTTCCGGGCAGACAACAAATTTGGCCGTGGGGAATGTGAGCTGCAGAGGGTACGTGACCAGCAGCAGCAAGGCCACTAAAATGGCACTTGGTGTTAAATCACTGCAGTGTGTTTGAGAGCAACAAACAAGTTCTGCTTGATGCGGTGTTGTGAAGAAAGGCGCGACAGCGTGGCATCATAAAGACACGCCCTCTGACACGAGTGTTTGTGCAAACAAAGTAGTTTCCGGGGCCACGCTTTCTCTTCTCTGTTATGCAGCGTGTCTTAAAACAGCTTATATAGTGTTCTTTTTTTTCATCGAAAAAATAAAATACGCACCGCCGAACGTTCATCCTCTACCCAAATGTCGCACTAGCGGTCCAAAACAGATGCCAACGTTTCAAAACTATTTGATACGAAATTAATATATATGTATGGGTGATTTCATGTCAACAAAGGCAAGGATATAGGGTCGAATTTTTAATTTTGACGAAAAAAATTATATGTTTTGGGGCAATTTCTATAATAAAATAAGACGCAAATGGCAATTTCGTCGGATTTTTCGTTCTCAAGTTATGGACCGTTGAAGCGGCAAAAGTGAAAACTGGCGTTTTTCCAGCCTATCGAAGGTGCCATATTTCACTCCATCCCTTTTCCCTACTTTTTATGCTACATCAATATAAATTTTTGGGAACACTCTAGACATAGGCTCTTTCATGCTAATTAAGCGTATAGGTCATAATATTCTTAATGATTTTTTTTATTCGTCGAACCGCCTCTCTGCGACGATATTTGACGAAGTTCAGCAAGCTGTGCCGTGTGACCTAATCAACATATTTTTATGACCTTTATATCACCGTCAAGCTCCAATTAGGCTCCTTCTTTTGAGTATAATTTCAATCTTTTGCAAAAAGTATATAATGCGCTACATGGTGCCTGAAAAACGAAAATTTTGAAAAATTGGCAAAAATGAAGTCAATTTTCTAAAAAAAAAAAACACTTTTTTTAGTTTTTATTCACAGTTAGTCAATATAGTAGTCTATCAGAAACTACCAACAGAAATAGTCATATATTGGGCAGTTTGATACTTTAGACCCATGTTCCGGATAAAAAAAACAGGACGCGGGATGGCCAAAAAAACCTGCTTTTCGTGCAAGGCTCGTCAAATTATGAGGCGCTGGAGAAATGCAGCCTTCTGCGTTAAGTCCTTATTTCGAACTCTTTTTGTTCGCCTTCCGCCCATTGAAAAGCATGCGGCAAGGGCCTTAGAACGCGCCTGGTATCGCTGCGCCGCAGCGTTCTTCCGCATCAAAAAGTTCGTCTGCTTTCCTCGCCGTCACCATGGCAACGAACGCCGAATGAATAGAAGCACGCACGGTACCGCCGCGTGAAGCTAGCAACAGTTGACGCCATTTTTACGAATGCCGTCTGCTAGCCAAAGCCGAACGCGGTGTGTCAGATCAACCGCCTCCGCCGGTGCGCCGCTAGCAAAGACGACGAAGCTGAGACACGCCGACGGCGATCGAGCAAGCAACAACACCCCGGGACGGCTGCAGCGGCGGCATTTATTCGGATCAAAGGCCGCCTTCGCCGGTGCGCCGCTAGCAAAGACAACGAAGCTGAGGCACGCCGACGGCGAATGGGCGAGCAACAGCACCGCGGGACGACTGTAACGGCGGCATTTATTGGGATCAAAGGCGCGAAATAAGCAAGAACAATTTTTATTTGAATCATAACACCCGATATCCAAGTTGGGGACCACATACCTTTGCTGGGTCTTTCCTGTGAACTTTTTACAGAGACAGGGGGTGCCGCATTCAAAACACAGCTCCGTTTGCAAAATATGGGGGCCCTGAAGAGGACCGTTGAGACCGCTACCAAAACCTATAACTGACGTAACGAGCACTTGACGAGCGGTTGGCGCATAAGTCGTCTTTACGCATGCAGGCGGGTGACGGGCTCAGCGCAGCGGATCCCTCGAAGTCACCGGGGCCGTCAGAATCCTCGCCCTGTCTGCGTCGGGGCTCTAGATTTTGGCGGCCGCGGCGACGAACGACTGGAATCTATCAGTGTTTCCGCGCCTTCTCTCTCCTCCAAAACATGAACTTTGCAAGGTGACCAGTGAAATGGTGGCTCTCGCGCCATCCACGTGGAAGAGAGTTTTTGACGTGGGCTCAGGTGCCCTCCACCGTATTGGTGTGCGCACCAGTGTTCGGGTCGACAAAGTGCAGCTTGTGGTTAACGGTGAGGTGCGTGAAGCGAGCGTCATCTGCAAGCTTGCGATAGCCAGCCCAACAATCTGTGATTATTCTTGTTCCAGGGCGGACCCACTTGGCTATTAGCCCTTGCAGGGTTTTAGCGTCACGGGTCTCCACGGGAACAAAAAAGCAGCACCCGCTGCAACGCGCCACACCACCGAAAACCCACTGGCCAGGCCTTAAATACCTGCGATGGTACTTGTGCCGACCGATCATACTCTCGTCTAGTTCTACAGTCACGCCTTCGCCACCAATCAAGTCTGAATGCTTACAGACGGCATTTACCACAACCTCCCGACAAAGGCTCGCCCAATCAGTTATTGTCTTACTTGCGATATCAGCCTCCCGCTGAATGACGGCGCACGGTAGGTTCTGGCATCCGGAGGATGATTTTCATGAGTTGGAGAAACGTGAGGTGCGTGCGATCCTTCGAAAAAGGAACCGCTCCGTACCGAGACCTCGCCCCGGCACTGAACTTTGACCGGCTTCCTCTTGGGCACCTCACGAGTCATCCACACACCGCAACCCCCCCCCCCCCCCCCCCCCCCCCCCCCCCGTGTAGCCATCCGCAGATCTAGCGCGGACTTGCAGCTTGTCATCGCAGCTTCGCACTTTGGACACGCACGAAAACCCAGGAGCCAGGAGCAGGCCAACGCGCTGAAGCAAATTAATTGCTTCAAGAGGGTCTTTCATGGCGCCAAGAAGACGGCACAAGTTGAACGCCATGGCACTGCGATGCTCGCCTCTTGAAGAATAAAGCGCCGAAGGGGAACTGCGCGCTTCTTTGCATTTATTATATTTATTTCATCCGCCATTTTATACCTCGTGACACAATTCTAACAAACTCATTGGTTGATCTGTCGGACCACACCATCGCGTGACATAAAAAAAAAAAAAAAAGAAAAAAAGAAACGCCAAACGTATGTCCACGGACGGCATCGTCACAGAGAAGAGAGCAGTCGAACCCAACAACAAAATGAAGTAACAAAGTGAATAAAAATAAAAATAAAAAAATAAGAAGGGAGTCGTTGGAGTTTCGGACGGCGTCTTCTTTGATGAGAGGAGCTGCTCTGTCCAGAGCGGTCAGAGCAGCCGTGCTGCTCTGGCTGCTCGGAATGTTCCTTTTTTATTCTTTTGCTTACTCTACCGGGTGCCACGACCCTTATTTGAAGCTGATTTGTTAAATTAATAACAAACAACGCGTTGGAACGGAGGAGGTAGAGAGTCTTGGCGTCAGAATTTGACGTGGTAGAAAAGAAAAGAAAATAACGAATGCACAATACATACCGTATGCCAAGACCGTTATACTCCGCACTTGGCGAGGCCTTATGACGCAGCCGACGACCGTTAGGCTATTTATTTTGTTTCTTTAGATTTTTTATCGTGACGACTACTCCACTGTGCCTCGGAGTCTCCAGCGGAGATCCGGCAGTTTTTAATTATTATTATTATTGTCGTTTGAAGGGTACTCTTTCTATGCTGCTTCGTTCCT